CAGAAGCACAATAACAAGTATATTTAGGTGTTTTCTGTAAATAACAGACGGTGTCAAGAGGAAGATAAGTCCCCTGGTTTGTCGCCTATACTCTAACTGTCATGAGAAAACTCAAAATCAATTTTCCAAAATCCGACACTAGAGGTGGTCTTTAACGCACCGGCAGATGACAGCGCTGACAAGCCAATGTGTGTTTTATCGCGTGTATTTATCGAGACGCTACAATACTTGTGGGCTTATCATGTTGATTCGGCCACAACAGAGGGGCAGGTCAGGGCAAACGGGCCGTTGCCCGGGCAACAATAGCCCGTACCTGTGCACGTCCCTGATCAGCATTATATATATATTAATAATATAAGGTATAATATGTTACTTTTGTGACTGGGTAAGTGCACAACACGGGAGTCGGGACGTCACGTGCCTCAAAGGTTGAGCTCCCGCCCACGTTGAGATGTTGAGGCATTGCGCACTGCATTGAGGGGTACTACGCAATGGCCGGCCGTGGCCCAACCCCACATTCCTCTGATAGGCGGAGCGTCACCGCCCAGTATTCTGGGCTGACGTCGGGTCGGATGGAATCTGTATCCGCTCGTTGTAGCCCCGTTTTTAAAAGATTTGGAGTACAGGGGAAAAGAGAGAGGGTTGTATTTTATGACACTTGGTGAGTTCCCTGGAACACCGGGGACACGTATTCATGTATAAAAGACGTACAAAAGTGCATTTAGCATGATAGGTCCACTTTAAGAAGAAGACAACACAATAAATAAACACAATGGAATAACACATTCATAAAAACCATGCATAAAAGAGATACAGAATAGTTTTAAAAACAACATTGTAAATACAGTAGGGCTTAAATAAGTTAAAAGACTTCTGGGTAAGCAGCTAAAAAAAGTAATGTTGTTAGCCTCGATTTAAAACAACTCAGCGTTGGTGAAGGCCTCAGGTTTTCTGGAAGTTTGTAAACAATGTGAAATGTGTCTCTGGCTGATCAGATAGTAAGATGACGTTCCCTGAGGATAAAACGTTGATATTAATGTTGTGTTTTGTGTCTGTAGCTGCTGCTGCTGCACTATAAAGCCAACACTGACGCTCAGGACAACAACGGAAACACACCGCTGCACCTCGCCTGCATGTACGGCCACGAAGACGTGAGTAAACACTCCATTTGTTGTTGTTGTTATTAAGAGGATTTCAGCCACGACCCTCCTATGTTTTCTTTTCTTTAATTGATCTATGAATGAATTATTTTAATATTTTTGTATGTATTATTGTTTTATTATTATGTTATTAAAACTATTATTTATTTTATTGATTAATTGTTTTTCAACCCTCAATTATGAAGTTTATTGTTATTTATTTATTAAATGTAAATAATATCTCGCACAGATTCATCTTTTAAAATATAAAAAAAAATCGTATTCTCAATTTTTTTACGCTTTCCAACGTCCTTTTTCTTACTTGTCTGTTAGCTTCTGCTGTTTTTCTCTACTCTAATAGACCATGTTGTGTGTGTGTGTCAGTGTGTGAAGGCGATGGTTTACTACGACGTGCAGAAGTGCCGTCTGGAGCTTCAGAACGATAAAGGCGACACGGCGCTGCACATCGCGGCGCGTTGGGGCTACGAGGGGATCATCGTGGTGCTGCTGGAGAACGGAGCCAACACCGACGTCTTCAACAAGAGCCGAGACACCCCGCTGCACTGCGCTCTCAACCCCAAGGTCAGGAGAAATGCCTTTATTGGATGCTGAGATGTTGTATTTCTGTGTTGGACCCTGAAGGCAGCATCCCTGGTCCAATACTGGGACGCTGTGATTTTTAATGATTGCAGAAAATAACCTCTGTGTCAAACAAACGTTTATGATACTTACACGTTTAGTTCAGCAGGATAATCTCCACATATTAACACCACTTTATGATTTCTGAAGTAAAAAGCTAATGTTGGGCTATAAAGGAACTACAGCACGGTCATATGACTTCACGTCACCACCGCTAAGCTAAAGGAGGCTAATGTTGGGCTATAAAGGAACTACAGCACGGTCACATGACTTCACGTCACCACCGCTAAGCTAAAGG